AGCCCAAGCAGCTCCTCTGCCTATGGAGTACCCCATTTTTTACTTTACCTTCTTATATCTTAATAAACTTGCTTTCACTTTATAGACTCTCTCGGTTTTTTTTGTTTGTTTGTTTGTTTGTTTGTTTTTGAGATGGAGTCTCGCTTTGTCGCCCAGGCTGGGAGCACAGTGATGCGATCTCGGCTCACTGCAACCTCCGCCTCCTGGGTTCAAGCGATTCTTCTGCCTCAGTCTCCCAAGGAGTTGGGACTACAGGCACAGGCCACCACGCCCAGCTAATTTTTTGTATTTTTAGTAGAGACGGAATTTCACAATGTTAGCCAGGATTTCTATCTCCTGACCTTGTGATCCGCTTTCCTCTGCCTCCCGAAGTGCTGGGATGTTTGAGTTCACATGTGTGAGCACCACGCGCCCGGCGACTCTCTCAAATTCTTGTGCGGGATCCAAGAACCCTCTGTTGGGGTCTGGAACAGGGGCCCACTTCCAGTAAAAATTTCACTGTTCATCTCCTCCAAAACTCAAGTTTGAGTTGAGAAGAATGGCAAACTTTGTTGCCACTGTAATCCTGTTAAGAGGTGGGACCTTTTAGAGGCATTTAGTTCAGGAGGGCTCTGCCCTCATCAATGACTAATGCCATTACTGTGGGGTACAGACCATTTAACAGATGAAGACAACAGAGATTTAGACTCTGACTCAAAATTCCAGACTTCTCATCCCATGGGTATTGATACACAAATTCATGACATACTAGGGAATAAAGCAGACTGTAAAACTACCTTAAGTATGCATATCTGTGGCCGGGCGCGGTGGTTCACGCCTGTAATCCCAGCACTTCAGGAGGCTGAGGTGCATGGATCACGAGGTCAGGAGATCGAGACCATCCTGGCTAACACAGTGAAAACCCCGTCTCTACTAAAAAGCAGTAGCGGGCGCCTGTAGTCCCAGGTACTTGGGAGGCTGAGGCAGGAGAAAGGCGTGAACCTGGGAGGCGCAGCTTGCAGTAAGCTGAGATCGCGGCACTGCACTCCAGCCTGGGCGACAGAGTGAGACTCCATCTCAAAAAATAAAAACAAAAAATAAAGTATGCATACTCGCGTTTGTCTATAGAAAAAACTGTGTGAAAGAATTTATTCTAAGACACGTATCCCTCAGTAATGAGATTATGGGTGATTTAATTATATTTTCAGCATTTTTAGCAAAATAAATGTATTTGTTTTAAGGCTAGTCAAGTGAAGCAATGTATCATTTTTAGAGTCAGAAAGAAACAGTAAGTTCCTTACAGCCTGGGGGCAGTAAAAAGAAAAAAAATAAACAGTAACTTCTTTTGAAACTGTAAAAATAAATCATTTCAAGATACATATTTTCTACCTATTTCTTTGAAAACATTTATTTGAATTAGTTTTAACTCTATTCTTTCAAAAAAGGATTTAGGATTCAGCTCTTTTCAATGAAACAGTTCGTTTTCTGGGGCTTCCTTTCTACCATTTAATTTCAAGTGTATTCAGCCAATTAAGCAACCAGGAATTCCAAATGTGTTACCATCTTTCAAAGCAAGAAATGCCTGAGTGTCCTCACTATATTTGAGCCCTGTTAAGACTGCCTAGGGTACATAAAAATCCCTTTATCATCTCTAACAACATCACATACTACTGTCCATCCAGTTGATGGTAAATTCTCCTAAAATCAGGCCTCTTGATGTTAACTAAGACAAAGAGTTGTTCCAAAAACTTTAATACCATATTCAATAGGCCATGTCAGACTTCTTTTTCAAACAATTACTAGGACTTCTCCAGACACTGTCATCTTGGTAAATAGCACCTTCAATGCATTCATCTGATCAAACCCAGAAACACCTCTCCCCATCATCTCTTTTATCTGATCTCTCATGCAATTCCACTTTCTTCAAAATATATCTCATTCCCTTCTTTCCATAACCACTGCAACCGCATTAATGGGGGGGCAGGGGCGGTATTTTTAACTGGTAACACCTTCCACTCTTGCCCTCTCCTATTCTCCATACAGCAAAAGCCAGTCATCTTTTAAAAACGAAAATCTAATTATGTTTTAAAAGTTTCAGTGTGGCTGGGCGCGGTGGCCAAAGCCTGTAATTCCAGCACTTTGGGAGGCCGAGACGGGTGGATCACGAGGTCAGGAGATCGAGACCATCCTGGCGAACATGGTGAAACCCCGTTTCTACTAAAAAATACAAAAAACTAGCCGGGCGAGGTGGCGGCGCCTGTAGTCCCAGCTACTTGGGAGGCTGAGGCAGGAGAATGGCGTGAACCCGGGAGGCAAAGCTTGCAGCGAGCCGAGATCCGGCCACTGCACTCCAGCCCGGGAGACAGAGCGAGACTCAGTCTCAAAAAAAATAAAAATAAAAAATAAAAGTTTCAGTGTGGCCGGGCGCGGTGGCTCACGCCTGTAATCCCAGCACTTTGGGAGGCCGAGGCGGGCGGATCACGAGGTCAGGAGATCGAGATCATCTTGGCTAACACGGTGAAACCCCGTCTCTACTAAAAATACAAAAAAAAACTAGCCGGGCGTGGTGGAGGGCGCCTGTAGTCCCAGCTACTCGGGAGGCTGAGGCAGGAGAATGGCGGGAACCCGGGAGGAGGAGCTTGCAGTGAGTCGAGATTGCGCCACTGCACTCCGGCCTGGGCGACAGAGCGAGACTCCGTCTCAATAAAAAAAAAAAAAAAAAAAAAACAACTTTCAGTGGTTGCCAACGCACTTAACATGAAATCAGCCGTAACAAATGCTTTATTCCCTGTATGATCTGCCTCAAGTCTTTTCTCCAACCTTTTCTGTCACTACCCCCTTTAATTACTATGTTCTAGCCACACTAGCCTTATTTTGGTTCCTCCAACCTGCTAAATCGTTTCCTAACTCAGGACCTCCAGGTATTTTTCTGTATGCCCGTGATACCTGTTCACTCTTCACCTGGTTAAGTCCTAGTCATATTTACTTCCTATCAATATTAAGAGAAGATTCCACATTTGCTTTGCTCACCTGGTACATAACTGATGCCCAATAAACAAGCAGCTGCTTCAGTTTGTTAGCCAAAACTAGCACAAAAAAATTAAAAATTCTTAAAATGAGGGGGAGTAAAAGTTACACAAAGGAACACAATCATATGCTTAAACCAAGAACCTGAGGGTCGATTTTCTTAAAAATTATTTAAAAAAAAAACAACTCAACGTTTTAAAAACTATTTCTTTGCAAAACTGTAGGAATTCTCAAAAAATCTATTAAAATGTTACCATCAAAAAAAGAGACTGGAATGAAGCAAGAATAAAACATTGTCATAAGTGACTGCCCATCAAAGAGCATACTGAAAACCCTTGAAATCATTTTTCTCTTCACTACCTTTTGTTTTACAAAACGATGAGGATGAGGCTGAATCAAAATTTTAACTGCAAACAGTTTACGACTCGAAAATACACGTTATTAGTTACTTCTGGTCAAAAAGAGAAAACTTGCAAGGCTGGCCATTCGAATTATTATACCATGTTTGGGTTAAATTTAAATTCCATTTAAAAAGAAAGAAAGAGCACGGGACAGGGGCTGTGAACACTAAAGCCACTAGAAAGTCGGAAGAAACGGGAACATTACCTGCTCTCTTTGCATGTATGGTAGAGACATTTCCCCAGCCCCCACCCCAGAACGCCAGACACTGAACAATGCCGGACGGATTCTCTAGCAGAAATTCCACGCCATCAGTTCGGTAAGCCAGGGTCTCTCTCCATCACGCTCACACCCCGCCTCTGCCCCCAACAGCTTCATCGTCAGCCCTGAAGTCTCGGGCCCACTCTCAGCGACGTCCCCTGATCCACTCCTCAATCCTGGGACGCGCACTGAGTTCATCACTTCTTTCCTAGAGTCCTTTCTGAGAAATCGCTTCCAAGAGCGCAATTTGCAAACAGCCACGGGCAGGACGGGAGGGAAAAAAATGGGGTGAATGCCGCGCTTACCTGAGGTTGCACCGTGCTCGACAAGGAAAACATCTCCTGCGGGCCCTCAGCGACCTCACCCGCCTGCCGAAACTGTGCCCCTCTGTCGACGGCCCGGCGGGGAGGCGCTGAGCCCTTCTTTTTACCTTTTTCTCCGACCCGTTGCCCCGCACTCCTCCCAGAAACGGAAAATGGCCTCCCCTTCCTACAGCTACTGCAACGACAGACAATCCGCCCCGGAAGGTGAGGCGCTAACGCAACACTACTTCCGGGGCCAGTGAGTGCCCACACGGCCAACTGCCTGCGCGTTCTTTCCGCGGAAGTAGTTGATATTTACAAGGAACAGCGTCCCCAAAGGTCTTTAGCTGTTTTTTAACGAGAGAACAGCCTTTACCCGCTTTAGACTTTTTCTTTTTTTTTTTTTTGGAGACGGAGTTTCGTTCTTTCGCCCAGGCTGGAGTGCAGTGGCGCGATCTCGGCTCACTGCAACCTCCGCCCCCCGGGTTCAAGCGATTCTCCTGCCTCAGCCTCCCGAGTAGCTGGGATGACAGGTGCCCGCCACCACGCTCGGCTAATCTCCTCTTAAGACTTTCTACAGCTTATGAAATCTTCTGACTGGGCCTTGAGCAATAAGGTCTTTCACTACAATTTCGTGCTCTTTTCCTCACACTAAATCGAAAACTCTCCCTGTTGGTTCTGATCTGTTTCAGTCAGGCAAATTATATCCTGGGAAAACGTCAGATGACAGGGGCGGCCACCCGCTTCCTGCTCATCGTTTCTCCACATTCTGTGCCTTCACTAGCTTCCAGACCTCAGCCCTGGCTTTCGCTTTATTGTACAGTCCGAACTGGTTTCTACGCCTCGCGGGGGTGGGGAGGTCGTGTATGCGAGGAGGACCGCTTCCCACCAGCCTCGTTGGGACGCCGGGAGAAATGTTTTCAAATCCTGCGATTCAGTGAAGCCCCAGTCGTCCCTTTACTGTAGGCCCAGAACTGTCTATGCCTGCTCCCTCATGAGGAATGACGTCAGTAGTGCCGCAGTCGCCGCCGACTACTAGTGTACTGCCGGGGACTCTGGGCTTTCCAGACGCCCCCTCCCTCCACGTCTGCGTAGGGGAGGTGACGAGGGCGGGGCACGGCGGCGCTGTGACGTCACGGCCGCGCGCGGCGTGGGCGGAGCCTCACTTTGAACACAGTTGGCGGGAGTGGCTGCTGGGCTGGGGGCCGCGGCCGCGGGACTGCTGTAGGCTGGCTAGCGATGGAGCCCACTGCGGGAAGCAAGAAGGAGGCTGGAGGAGGCGCGGCGACCGAGGAGGGCGTGAATAGAATCTCGGTGCCAAAACCGCCCTCCATTGAGGAATTCAGCATCGTGAAGCCCATTAGCCGGGGCGCCTTCGGGAAAGTGTATCTGGGGCAGAAAGGCGGCAAATTGTATGCAGTAAAGGTAGGAAGTCAAGGAGGAGCAAAGGAAGGGGTCAGGCCCTTCGGCCCTCCTTCCTGCCCCCCGGCTTGGGCAGGCCCCGGGGCCGCTGGAGCAAGGGGTCTGGGTGGCCTTGCTTGCCTGGCTTGCTGAAGCCTTCAGAACCCTGCAACATCCGCGATCGGGTCGGGTGTCTCACCTCTGTTCCGCCCTTCCCTCCATATCTCGGATGCCCAGTAGTTTGACCCTCTTCTCCCTGCCCAGCGTTAGCAAATGAGGAAACTGAGGCCAAAGGCAAAGGGACTTGACCGAAGTGATTACATCGGCCTTAGTACAACAGGGACTTAAAGCCAAAGCCGTGATTCGTAGTCTCACCCTTGCTTCGGTTAGGTTTCTAAATCCAAAAGGTTTTTAGTAATTAGTGGTTTTGTTTACCTTGTTTGCTTTGACGTGCAGAATCGCTGAAATTTTTCTGCCGCAGAAGAGTGATTAATTTGTAGGCACTGATAACTTTTTGACTCTTAACCAGGAGAAAGATGTACTCTTTTCTGATAAGTCTTTAATAATTTTTTTTTAAAGACAGTCTTTCTCTGTCTCCCAGGCTGGAGTAGTGTGGCGCGATCCCGGCTCCCTGCAACCTCTGCCTCCTGGGTTCAAGCGATTCTCCTGTCTCAGCCTCCCGAGTAACCGGGATTACAGGCGCGCGCCACCACACCTGGCTGATTTTTGTATTTTTTTGGGTAGAGATTCGCCATGTTGTTTTCGCTATGTTGACCAGACTGGTCTGGAGCTCCTGACCTCATGTGATCCGCCCACCACGGCCTCCCAGAGTGCTGGGATTACAGGTGTGAGCCACCGCGCCCGGCCCTGTTACGAATTTTTTTTTTTTTTTTTTTGAGACGGAGTTTCACAGTGAAGTGATCTCAGCTCACTGCAACCTCCACCTCCCAGGTTCAAGCAATTCTCCTGCCTCAGCCTCCCGAGTAGTTGGGATTAAATGTGCACGCCACCAACCTGGGCTAATTTTTTGTATTTTTAGTAGAGACGGGTTTCACCATTTTGGGCAGGCTGGTCTCGAACTCCTGACCTCAGGTAATCTGCCCGCCTCAGCCTCCCAAAACGCTGGGATTACAGGCGTCAGCTACCGTGCGTGGCATTATGAAATTTTTAAGTGTTAGCATTACCTATTCGTTTGATGTATCTTCTGGATCCTTTTTACCCATTTGGCCTTTGCCAGGATTAAGTTGGGAATATTCATTAAATTAGTAACTGTCACTTCCAAGTTATATTCTAGCTTTGCAGTTTGATGTAGATTAATTTCTGACCTGTTGTATAACCAAAAGTTCTCATTAAATGAGCCCATTGTTTTCTCTTCAAATCTTCCATTGTGAAATCTAGAATGCACTTTTATTTAAAGAGTAGGTTGAAATATGTCCTAAGCCGACCGATCCTTTCTCCATGCAGCCATGTGTATCATTCTAAAAACATTCAACATGTATCTTGACAGCTATTCTGTCCATTCTTGGTACTTGTCCATTGCAGTGGTTTCACATTACTCACATTGCGGCACTGAGTGAAGGTGATAAAGGAAATGAGAAACCAGCAACTTGTTAGTGGGATTTCAGCTTCCTATTGGACATTGTCAAGTGAATATCCAGCACACACCTCCAAATTGTACTTGCCTAACCTTAACTAATCCTCTCCACCTAACTGCCTAAATTCTGAACCGCCTATATTCCTTCTCTCCATTTAATAACACCTTCATCCCTGTCCTTCAGACTAGAAACCTGAATCACTTCACTACATCTCTGTATCTCTCTCAGTGTTCCTGTCAGTTCCATCTCTTTTAGTCATGCTTTTTATCCGTTTCCATTCCCAAGTCCCTGTCCGAGTACAGGCTTTCACTTTTCCCCCTATTTATTTGGTTATAAAGGTACAGGCTGGGTGCAGTGGCTCACTCCTGTAATCTCAGCACTTTGAGAGGCCAAGACAGGTGGGATTACCTGAGGTCAGGAGTTTGAGACCAGCTGACCAACATGGTGAAACCCTGCCTCTACTAAAAATACAAAAAATTAGCCGGGCGTGCTGGCACGCACCTGTAATCCCAGCTATTCAGTAGGCTAAGGCAGGAGAATCACTTGAACTTGGGAAGCAGAGGTTGCAGCAAGCTGAGATTGCACCAATGTATTCCAGCCTGGTTGACAGAGCAGGACTATGTGTCAAAAAAAAAAAAAGGCCAGGCACGGTGGCCCACGCCTGTAATCCCAGCACACCACCACAATCCCAAACCATTGGAATACTTTCCGTTTCGCCGGAAAACCCCTCTTTCCGCTCATCTCATGCCTTACCCCATTAACACCGTCCAGCCCAGATACCACTGATTACTTTCTGTCTCCATACGTTTGCCATTTCTGACATTTCATATAAATGGAATCATACAATAGTGGTCTGCATCTGGTTTTTTTTCACTCGACATGACATTTTTGAGGTTCATCATGCCTTCATTTCCATACATAGTCTGTTGGAATAGCCGCCTAGCTAGAATCATTATCTCGTTTTTTCATTCATTCCTTAACACTGTGACCATGTAAACCTCAAGTTCAGACTCTTTAGAAAAGCAGTCGTTTTCCAGTTCTGGCTCCGTATTTCCACTGTATCTTCCTCATACCCTGTCTTTTGGCCTCAGCAGACAATTGGCTACTCTCTAAATGCTGTGTATTTTCTTGCTTCTGTGCTTATGTTTATGCTCCGTTCTTTCTTTTTTTTTTTTTGAGACAGAGTTTTGCCTTCGTTGCCCAGGCTAGAGTGCCAAATGGTGGATCGCAGCGCTCAC